TTGTCTTAAGTTAAACAAATACATTTATATAAGTATATGAAGTGGGTACTGTGTGTTGTGTGTGTGTGTGTGTGAGTGGTGTGTGTGTGTGTGTTGCGTTTGTGTGTATTTGTTTATCTTAAAAATAAAACTATATCAATTATGACTTAAAATTCTCAATGCATTCCATTTAATTTAAGTAATTAATTATCTATCCATCTTCAACAGCTGCGGTCATGACATCGCAAGTTCTACCAACCTGAAGCCACGAGAGAGTTCCAGCAGTATCTGCCCACTGTGCAGCGAGTGTGCGAATGTTGCGAATGTTGCCACTCTGCATTTAATGAATTCTGTAAAAAATGAAATAATATGCAGGTGCAAATATCAATAGAAACAACATTAGAATAAACCTGTTGAAAAATACACAGGTAGTTAGTTGCTCCTGGAAGCTTTTTTCCAGGGTATCATATCCTCAAATATAAGCACGCAATTCAAAATTTTCAACATTTTTTTAGAAGCTTTTTGGCACTCAATCAATAAATTTATTTTAATAATTCATATTTAAGCTGGTTCATTTCTCAATTCAGCCATACATCCAAACAAATATCCATTTTTGATTTCATGCTTTCAATTTTGTATTGAAAAACATGCATCTATGCATGCATACAAAATTGTTTCCTTCCATATTTAATTAGTTTTTAATCCGCCCATTTGCGGAGCCTCATCATGCGTGCTGGCGTTTGTTTTCTTTTTTGAAAAAAAGTTTACTTAAAAAAGACCAATAATTGAAATCTGATGAAAATTTCGCAAGAGGAACAGCGAAAGCTTTCGCGCGAGTTTGCACGAGCAAATTCATTCCATAATCTCTTAATAATGCATGCAGCATGTCAAGCATGAAACCTTCTCCTTCAAAAATATTGCAGTAACATATTCACCAACGTATAACTACATGGAAAGAACACAGCAGCTAAAATATTTTCATAACATTCTGGTTTCATAACATCAAAGATATTTTTGTTGAATTACTTGTAACAATAAAAACCCAGCAAGCCACCAGCAACAACAACAACAACGGCAACACAACAACATTCTCACAACAACAAATCAGCACACAACAAATCAGCAACAAAAAATATTAATTGTGGTCATTTGTTATGTGGAGCAGTAGTAATGTGATCAGGCTTGCAGAAATCTGGCAGCATCAATTATCGCTTTTAACAAACATTTATCGAGATTAAGGATCCGCTATTAATATTATAGTATCATAAGAGTATCATAATATCATTAATATTATAGTGTCATCATCGTATCTAATATAATAGTATCATAAGATGGTGGGTTTATCATCGTATCCATCTTATATTATAGTATCATATCATAAGTTGTTTTTGTTGTTGTTCTATGTTATTGTTATCATCGTTATTAGCTAGACAATAAGATCCAACCGTTTGCAATTAAACGAACAGCTCATTCATCTTTTGAACACGTGCAAATATGCAAGGGGAGGGGAAGAGTGAGAGGGGGGATGTCGGTAGAGAGATGTGCGGTGTGGCAGAAAGAGGTGCGGTGTTAGCATACCGACTGACACATTTGTACGTTTATATTTGTTTCCAATACAACCAACAAAACCATCGGGGTATGAATTGCATGCTTAAATGTCATTTAGGTTGGTGGTATCACGCTGATTTATTTATCATTACTTTTATTTATTTATTTTCTGTCCTGGTTATGACATTAAACTGACCCTCACTGCCTTGTGAGTGATGTTGGATCATCAAAGGCTAGGCCCACCGCTTATAACTGTGGTTGCGTAAGGAAGGGCGTCCTGCGTAAAAATTAGCCAAATAAATTACTTATGATGACAGAAGTGACAATGGTTTCATCATAGGTAGCCAAACGGCAACCCCCGATCTCGGGGAAAATGTCGTCTAAACGTGTGTTGTTGTTGTTGTTGTTGTTTATTTATTTATTTTATTATTTAATTTAATTTGATTTAATTATTATCAATTATTTGTTTGAAAATGTTTGTTATGATTTAAAAAATGAGATGGGGTATGCTAACATTGAAACATTTGAAGTTTGATGACGTTTTGTTTTTATAATGAAAATTAAAAAAGTCCTTTTCTTGTTTTGACTGTTTTGCATGCACTGCAGTGAAGCTGTCTGCAGCTGCCATCTACGTCATCGCTGACGGCCTCACACTCCTGTCATCATTAGGCAGCCTTCATCATTCTAATTACCCTCATCATCATTCCACCATCTCTCTCTCTCTCTCTCCACTGTTGAAATATAAACGGTTGAAATTATTCTCGTCTCAGTGCTGCAAGCGTCTTCGTCGTCATCATCATTCTCGTCGTCGTCATTGTCATCATCATCATCATCATCGGTAGCATCACTATCAGCATAACCTCCATTGTAGAAGCGACGGGCGTGGAATTTATACAAGACTAATGTCATAAGACCATGCATCATCACGGTAATCCGTCTTTTAACATCAGTCCAAAAGAACACACACACACTCACATACGTACACACACTTACACATGCTTATACAGACACACACTCACACAGATGCACATACGCACATATAAACGTGGTCTCCATACATCACCGGGTCACATTATGCACACGTGTATCAAAGTATTGTGTATATGCTGTCATACATATTCTACGCATTCTATCTACATTGTAGTAAAATGATGGCATATATTTTTTTATACTTGATTGAAATTTGTATGCACTGTGTACTGTCAGGAATGTCTACATAGAAGTGTATGTCATTAGTTCAATGTTTTCAGCACTGCCAACGAACGTATTATGGCTAACAGCATTGTAGGTTCAGTTTAAAAGTTGTTAGCATCTCAGTGTCATAAATATAATTATCTGCTGTTTTAAAATCACGAATGCGTTTAGTTGAGATCAAATATCTTGACCGGCTGCCATCCCATGTCTTGCTAGTATGCCTGTCTTCTGGACATGCTATCTTGACCGGCTGTCTTACTAGGGTGCATGTCCCCTGGCGTCCGTGTGCACGGAGCTACGGAGCTTTGGAATAGCGGAAAAGTGGGGTGTAATATTTAAGTTGGGGCCATATATGATGTTTGGAAACGTTGCATTCGTCAGAGGTGCATTCCACAGAACAGAAACAATCTCCACCAGGCAATTGATCAATCTAACAAATGAATGTAACTTTTCAAACATTTATTCTTCAGAAAGAAATAGTTGAAGAAACATCGATCAGATGGCAATGAAGAGGCGGAGCAGAGTTTACGAGACAGCTAATGCGGTTAGTTGCATTGAAGATCTAATTAGGATAATTGATGTTGATGCATTTTGGGATGAAGATGATCTAATTACAATAATCGGTATGATGCATTAGAATGGGATGGATGGATGCAGACGCAGATGCAATGCTGCAAGTAATTCTATTGATTGCCTCCCAAGGGTCACTCAAATTCGTTGAACATGAAGCTTCACAATTTTGTTGCCTTCTGTGTTTGCTGGTCGTAATTTTTAAAATTTTAATTTATTTTTCACAATATTTTTATGCATTGTGTATTTTCAACTTTTTTTTATATTAAATGTTAATATTTTCATAGCACGGCTTTTGAAACGAACGAATGTGATTGACTTAAATTGCAGCTAAAGAACCGCTTGAATTGATTGTGAATGAACGTGAGTGGCATGGCGGTAGAAAATGATGATGAATGACGGAGTTGTTGGTTGGAAGGAAATATTTCAAATCTTCAATTCACCATGCATTGACTGCATGAATCTATGTAATTAAAAAAGCAGAAAGCAATATAAATCTATATGGTAACAATAAACAATAACCTATTTAAATAAATAGATGTGTAATTAAATGAAGTTGTTTGTATGGGTGAGTAAACAACAACACGGCAGTAGTAACAACAAATAAATAGTTAAGAAGCAGAAGAAAAATTCTTTTTTGTAGTAGAAAATGAGAACTGACGTCATTCCGACCGTGATTTCTACGACATTTCGTTGGTTCATAAACGGCTCATAACATTTTTGTTACCCATTTCATTTAATAAATGCACCACATTGTTTGTTGTCGTGTTTAAAATATTTAATTATATATCCCTTATTATTTATATTACCAAAAAATATGTGATATGAAAGCCTGGTATTGGAAGAGTAACAAATTGGTGCATCAATTTGCCTTCATTGCAGCACAAGAACAACACAAACACACAAACACGAGCACAGACAGACAGACACGAGCACATGCAAACAAAAAAACACACAGACACATCCGTGTGCGACAATCCGGCAAAGACAGCCGAGGCAGGCAAGCACAAAAGGAGCAAAACGAGGTCCATTAATCAAATATATGCCATTGTCGAAGACGTTTATGATTCGTTTACATAGGAGCATATGCATAAATATTCCTTCGCAACTTATCAATGAAACTAATCTTGAAGTTTATTAAGTTTGTAATTCTATCGTGATGCGAATAAAAATAAGTCTGCGTGTGTTCAAGTACTTGTACGTATATGCGTACACGTTGCGAATGTTTGCGTCTACATACGCTGTTTTCACGGTCGTGAAAGAAGGAGCTATCATAAATGGTTGTCAGCTCAATGTTATTTTCTGCATGGTTTTGTTTATACGAACGTAATCACATTTTATATAGGCACTGCTTGTGCGGACACAATCTTGCACATGCTTAAATTCATATGTATAAGAAAATTTGAAAGTAAAATATTAATATTAATATTATTATTATTATTATTACATATATGTTAACTTCTTCATCAATAAAAAAATAAAAAATTAATACGCATTAATAATTTTTTATTGGGAAATAATATGCTACATATAGGTCACTAAATTTTGTAGTTCTTGAGATGAATATGTTTTTTATTTATTTAATCCTACACAGTTTCCCCATGAAACATCAAACTTATTATGTTCATTTGACTGCAGTTCTGAAAAACTTGCATCACATATTTTAACTCAGCGGGGAAGCAACAAAAACGACTTGCAGTTACGTGAAGTTACAATGCTATGGTCAGGAAAAAATATCTCCTTGAAAGTGATCTGCAGATGATTTCCTGAATATCTTCCAAGAAGAGTACAAATAGTAGAAATAATTTCAAAAAATACAACTCCATAACTTTTTCATCACCTGGTTTTGTGTGTTTATTTTGTTAAAAGATATTGCTAAAAGATCCTAAAACTTTACTGTGTTGAAGCTTCGCTTGTAAAATTGTTATTGCAATTTTTAGCCTTCCTGACTTTATGAGGATCTGTCAACTAATACGGAAATCAATTAATCGGTTTTGCTGAACTTTTCCAATCTTAGTTGCGGTAAGTACAGGCAGATGTGGAAATTGATATAATACGAATTTCTTATTTAAACAAAAAATTTTAGGAGCTACATTAACTTTAGTTCCGTTGTTTACGAACCTCAACCAACACGTGTACAAATATTTATACATACAAAATCCTACTAACAAATATATAAACGTATAAATATAAATAAAGGCACGTCACGTGAACCCACGCATGTCTGCACGCAGTCACATGGAGAGCGTACAAACAACAAATTATTTCACAAAGCACATTGTTTTGTAATATTAACATGGCGGACAGCATGGCACAAACGACCAACTCGGCGTTACAAACATTCTCCATGGCATCTGCGCCTGCAGTGGAATGATGCATGGATGGCTGATCAATCGTGTTCCAAGCATTTATTCATACAAACTAAACTTACATGCCTGCTCTCGCACACGCATTTCATCATTAATATTAACATTTGAATGCTTTTTGAGGCCCTTTCTACACAGAGTATAGTATGTACCATAGAATATTTCAAATATAATTTTGACAATAATTGTTCAACAATGACAGATTTATAACTCAGAATCTAATTTTTGTGCAAGCAATTATTGTCAGTCGTCTAGCTGAAAAATTTGGCCTTCATAGGAAGCCATACAAAAATTTGCTATTATTACCAAGACATTTTAAAAACTTTTGCAGTGAAATTTATATAAGAAAAAAACTACTGTAAATCGTTTTTTTAATGAAAAATTTATAATTTAAAGTAGACCAAATTTTTTCATTACGAATTTGCAGACCTGATTTCCTGAAGTACAATCATGTCGGCCTTATCATTCAGTCGATCACTAAAGTTGTTGGATGACTGAGCAGCTGACAGAAGGAAGAGATGTGGAAATAATCAATTCCTGCATCGAGAAAATATCTGATAAGATGTTTTATAGCAAGCAAGTTGTTATAAAAATTTTTGGATTATGGGTTAAATAATGGTTCGTTTTAAGTTAAGTAATAATTCATTAATAACTGATATGTCTTGTATTATTGAGTTAGAGGTTACATGGTAACACTAGGTAAGTCTAAGAACAGTGCGCAAAGAAAGAACATGTTTTGAGTTTTTCTCAACCGTTAAACCTTTTCTGTTTACTGATGATATGAACCTTGTTGAAATTTAAATAAAAAGTTAATCAATACTTTTATATTTAAATAAATTTATCATTTTTGAGCAAAGATGCAAAAATAAATATGTTTTCAATCATATCTGTTATAGAAATATGACCATTTTGTAATCTGTAAAACAGAAGTTAGACTTTATTGTCATAAGTTATAAAGGCATGACTTTCGATATGAAAAGTGTGATTTTTCAGAATGAGTGTACCCATGAATCAACTTTTTATTTGTTCTGCGTGGTCATGAATCTCTTTCTCGTCCTTATTGGCTCCTAAGTGTCCTCGTCAAGCGTCATTTCTTCCTCCAAAGAAAATTTCAACTGTAACGTGATGCTAATTGCCTCTTGGAATTCGTTGCGTTTTTTAAATTACTCAAAAACTTTCATTTTAAAACATCGAAAATGAATTATTGAAAAATTTGTTTTAATTTGAAAAAAAAGTTTTATTTTCCTGCGCATTAAAATGTTTTTTAATTGACTTTACCAACTGGTAATGATGTTATGAAGATAAAACATTCAAATATTTCTTATATAAAGCAATTTTTTGTTTTATAATTTGCAAAATATTTTCGATTTTCAGTTTAAATCATAAAATTTTTTAAATCAAACACACAAACAAACTAAGGCACATGCTTAAACATATTTATTCATAGGCATGGAAATATAAAAAGCGAACACACATTTACAGAAGGAGATGAACAAAAAGAAGCGCATATTTTTATTTCTAATGCATGCCAATCACGCCAGAGCTGAAAGCTTCCTTGAGTCACAAAACGCACCACGTGATTATAAATCTCTATCATTTCGTGCTCTTTAAATTCGATTTTAAAATCCACTTTTTTTAATTCATGCACTCATTATAATCCGGAAGATGATGGCCGTTTAGCACGTGACTTTTACAGCGGCGCCATTTTGTTTGGCTTTTGGAAAAATTTTTTTCTAAATTTATTTTTTCGTCCGATGATTGAAGAGATATTTTTTCAAAAGTTTTCATTAATCTGATGGAGAGGCTTGAGTTTTAAAATTAATTAAACGAATTAAAACTTTACATTCTTTGATAATTTTTTTCTCATGACAATTTTTCAAAACATTTTGTAATTAAACTGGAAATATGGCTAATAGCGTTTTTTTAAATAAAAAAATGAGTTTCTCAGTTTCAGCGCGCATTCCATTTGCAACTTGCCATTGCTCATTAAATTCTGTACAGTTTTAATTATTAAGTATAATCCGTTTTAACTGAATTTTTTTCTCTACATTTTAAAAAATTTCGGAAATAATTTTCAAAATTTTCAATTCTAAAGAGTTATTCTTTTTTATAAAACGTTATCAGTTTCATCCAATTTGGTGTGTGTGTGATTTTATATATATTATGATATGATATATAGTATAATATGATATTATATATGGTATAATATGATATGATATATGGTATAATATGATTTCATATGATATACGGCCTGATATGATATGATAAATGACATGATGTGAAATGATATAAATGTAATGTAAAGTGATACGATTTGATATGATATAATGTACCGCGATGTGATGTAATGCGATGTGACAGTGTGTGTCTCAGTCATAATGATCAGGATACTGCACGTTCCAAGTTTTCATCATGACGTCATGACGAATTGGGTATCCCGGTAAGGTCACCGTGACATTAATGATGGGTGTGATGATGGCGATGATGACGATGACAACGACGAAGAAGATGTTGATGATGATGAACAGAATGGCTTTGAAGATGATGAGGAGGAGGATCAGAATGGTGATGATGATGATGATGAGAAAAAGAAGGAAAAGGAGGAAGAAGAAGATGATGACATTTAATGAGATGATGACGTAACTATTAATTAAAATCATAAATACCAATTATTCCAAATGAAAATAACAAAATGATGAATCGAGAAATAATGATGATGATGATGATGATGATGATGACGATGATGGTGATGGTAATAGTGATAACATTGGCAGAAGCATACAAAAGCATTTTGATTCCTTGGCTACCAGTTTTAATGAATCGCGCGGAATTGTATTAAAATTTTATTTCTTTCATTGAACGCCATGGACGGTCTTGGCTGAATTTAAGAATGCTAACAAGAAACGTTAAACAAATTTAAAATACATATTTGTTTATGTGTGTGTGTGTGTGTGTGTGTGTGTGTGTGTGTGTGCATGTGTGTGTGTGTGTGTGTGTGTGTTTGTGTGTGTGTGTCCATGTAAACTTACCTAACTTTTATACTTTTATAATGAATTTATGTCTCAACATAAATTCTAAAATGCTTTCATTTTAATTACGAAAACTTTGTCACGTTCAATTGTGATTTGTCAAACTTGCTTTTAAATGTTGAATTTTCAATGAATGATACAAACATCACCACAATTTCATGTAAACTAAACGAGTAAGATGGTAAGATGGCAACATATATGGTAAGATTTTAATGACTAAGTACCGAAAACTGTCGAAACTTTCTTTAAATTGAACTCACCAAGACTAATAGCAACGGGTTCCTTTTATTCAACAAATCAACCAACAACTAATTCGTGATGACTTTAATGTAAAATATAATGTAAAATATAATATAAAACGTTCGACGTGACTTTAAAACATTACATTTTATCAATTTTTGACTGCAAAGTACGACTTAGGAAAGTTATGTTTTGTCCAACTTGCGGTGAAACAGCACTGTCCAATCTAATGCAAAGTTAATAAAAAGAAAAAAACAGCAGGAAGCGTTTGAAATGAAAGTTCCTCAGAAGACTGAAATTAAAAAACAAATCCAAATGTAATTAGCTGGAAAACCTAAAAAGTTCGAAGTCAAAGTGAGGAAATTGTGGTACTTTCGACATCGACATTAACAGAACGCCGGATGAAAAACTGATGATGACTGCAATATCGGGTAAGAGATACCGAAAAAATAAATTGAGGAAACCTGCCATGAAGTCAGGAAACATTACAGAAAGGATTGAGTAGTGAGCTGAGATCGATTAATTACATCATTTTAAAATGTCAAGATGGAAAAATATTTTGGAATATGTCGATATAGATTGACGCCAGTGGTCAAACAGCTGCTTTTTGGACAATGGACAATTATAGGTCAATTTCAGGTGCCTAAAAGCATTCCAAAATATAATTTTACGGGTTAAAAATTAAAATTTTAATTTTTAAAAAATTATTTATTATTGAAAAATGAAGCAGAATATAATCGCAGCAAGTGAAATGTCACTAAAAATTGCGTAATTACGATGCAAAGCAGAAGCCGCAGCAGTAGCAGCAGCGTCATTGAGAGCTGCGTTGGAAATATGAGGAGCCATGAAGCGTGTCAAGAAGGCATCAACGCAGACTTCAATGTAAAGTTAACTGAGCACATCAAACATTCCTACCTAAAATAATCTCTGCCTAAACATCCGCTCGTCAACTCGTCATCATCATTTTGTTGTGCTCACCGTGATGATGATGACGCTGATGATGACTTATTATTATCATCATCATCACTGTCATCCTTATTATTATTATTACTATTATTATTATTATTATTCATTTTAATTCATTTTATTTTATTTCATTGAATATTTATTTCGACCTTTTTTTTTGAAAAAAATAAAAGAGTTAAAATAAAATTATTATTATTATTATTATTATTATTATTATTATTATTATTATTATTATTATTATGTGAAGCAAATATGCACAAGTCTGTTGCAGGCATAATGGTGATAATTTTATTTGAAACAGATTCACTTGCAGTCATAAAATGTTAGTGGATCGACTATGAAGAAATTACACCATCATAATTGGGGCTTTGGTTATCTTGAACAGTGATCCAATTTAGTAAGCCAAAGACAAAAAGTTTTTGTGTGCTTGAAGTAGTTCTAATTTTAGCTTTAATTTAGTTAGTTTAAAATTTTTTAAACATAACTTATAATTGCTGGCAGCTTAAAATATTGATAAATCTTACCCGAAAAATATATTATACAAAATTGTATAAAAATAACAATAATAATAACATAACAAAAATAACAATAATAATAATTGTATAAATATATTATATAAATTGTATAAAAAATATGATGAATTTACTTTAAAATATATCATTGTTTGGGGATTTGATAAAAAAATTGTTTTTTTTTAAGTTTTCTTCATTTAAATGCAGTTAATCATCTTAGAGCTGCCATGAAGTGGCTGGAATGAAAGTTGCAATCAAACGCCGTCTGCAACTAATTAGAAAAAATGATTGGTTGCATGTTGTGAGAATGTGTGATTGATTGGTTGGTTGGCTGGTTGCATGTTGATTGATTGGTTGGTTGGCTGGTTGCATGTTGTTGTGTTGTTGTGATTAATTGGTTGGTTGGTTGGTTGGCTGGTTGTTTTGTTGGTTGGTTGGTTGGCTGGCTGGCTGGCTGTTTAACTAGCTGGCTGGCTGGCTAGCTGGCTGGCTGGTTGGTTGGAGGAAGGAGTAAAATTTTTGGAAAACGTTCATTATATTTAAACTTTATTACAATTTCAAATTGGACACGAAACCACTTTGTGTCTGCAGTCACTAGTTGAATAAAAAAAGTAATGGAGTAGTATTCGTTTTAAAAGTCAGTAACATTAATTGTTTTAACAAAAAAAAAACTGTTTCTGACGATAAATGGACGTAATTAGCAAAACAAATTTGACCACATTACCACTTTGAAACATCTTCAAAAATGTTGTCGAGATGTGCCACTGTAACTCAGAAATATAAACGCAAATGAGAGTGTTAGGTGTCACTCTCACCAGATTAACAGATTGTTTGTACAGCAAAGTTGTACAACCATACTTAGCTGTACAATCATATAAATGTACAGCATCCATCGTACAACATAATTATATACCCTACAAGTGGCAAACATCACCGGCTGACACACAATCAAGTAAACAGTTCATTCCTAAAAGTTATTAGACCATCCACGCATTCTTTTCTTTGTGTTTCCATCAAATTTTTCAAAGAGATTTTTCATTTTGTGGTTGAGTGATGATAATGCTGAACGTCTTTTACTTTTACTTTTTAGTTTCCAAAGGAAATCTTTCAACAGGGAGGTAATTCTTCCATGTAAACATATCTGAAGTGTGGGTGGTTGACTGATACCTACAATTCATTTTGTTGATTTCATAGGAGTAAAATTTTCAACAAAATTAAAACAGTGATAACATTTAAGTTTAATTAACTAAATTTTATTTCTGAAAAAATACTTCCTCTCTATAAATTATTAGATCAATAACAACAAGCTATTAACACTAACAAATGATGAACATCTGTAAGCTTCGTTGTTTATTCCATTCTGCTACCTTGTAATTGGTTGGTTGGTTGGCTGGTTGGATGGATGGTTGGTTGGTTGGTTGGCTGATTGGTTGGTCGGTTGGTTGGTTGGTTGATACTTGGCAAGATGAAACATCAAACGCCACACTCATATTTCAGCAAGAAAATATCGAAACTTTAAAAGTGACGATCGTATAACATTCCAACATTCTTTTCGTGTTTGCAGTAACAAGATAAATAAATAGTTGAAAGCACTAAGTGCGGCTATTAAGGTAATACATATAGAATTGGCCAATGCGATAGTGTAATTGTTTAAGTTTTTTATAAAAAAAAGGGCCAGGCTATGCCGTAGGATTGTCTGGATTCGTCTGTTACATGCAATCTGCGTGTGATGCGTTGATCCAAGTTGACTTTTACATTCATCCTCTGTGCTTTTGTTGCTGATACTTGCACAAGGAAATTGTAAAATAAAACAAAGAATAAGAAAAATAAATTAATTTAATATAATTAAAGTGATGTAAATATCTCGCTGCACTTATTTAGAGTTTGTCACGTTATGAAATTAAGCCAGCTATGCTGAAGCTATCATTCAATGTATTGAAGACTGATAGTTATTAGATGAATTGTTTCATTTTTCAAACATTTTTGAAAAGATAGATGAATAAATAAGATAGGTAATCAAAAAAACGAAGAAAAATTTTTACTCGACATTATTTAAACTCGAGAAAACCAACATCTTCACATCTTTATCACACAGCACATTTAACTAACAAAAATTAACTTTGATTAAAAGCCAGGAAATTGGATAATAAATAACATTATTTAATAATAATTTTAATTAGATGCGCCACTAGCAACAGCAGACGTCATCAAATGGATGGACGATGCGTCCGTTTGTTGCACTTGTGTCTTTGTCTCCTCTTAATGACGTCATATATCAATGATGAGTCAGCATCACGTGTTCGCCCATCTGATGCTGAAACATCAATACTCTCTACTACAATGCATGTGTCATGCTGAAATGTGTAATTTTTTTATAAATTAACTTTCGTTTTTAATTTTAAAAAAATTTTTTAAATGTTTTTTAAAAGTTAAATAAAATAAATAACAATTCAACAACAATATTGCGAATAATGCTTTTTAATACAAAACTCAATCAAAAAATGTTTTCATGTACCAACAGATTTTTGATTGTATAACTTTGTAATCCAACTCGAGGTCATCTCTCTTTTTATACTTTTTATTCCCGCCCAAAATGTTCCGAGCCACAAAAAACAAATAGTTTGACAACCAATGAGAGACGTAACAATCCATCACGTGACGTACAACCCTCAAATGAGAGATTGCTCGCCCGCATGTACACTGAATCAAAACAGGCACCCAGCCAACAAACAACAGCAAACAAAATTTTCAATCCTTTCATATTAGAATTAATATTATAAAAATTTAATTTAGTTCACTTAAATACCAAAAACAATTTCACTAAAATGAAATTTTAAAAAAATACAACCTCGAATCTATACTAACTTCACTAAACACCTTCTAACTAATTTTTTAGGAGATTTAAAAACCTTAAACACACACGCATACTCACTCACACACACAAACACTCGCATGCACACACACACACACACACACACACAGAGAGATACAAATACATACAACCTAGAGGTCCGCACAGAAACAAAAGACTAAGCACGTGCATAATCTGCAATAACGACGTTGTACTCAAGTTGGAAAGCCCATAGTTTTCAATTAGAAGCATTGAACAGACAATGTAATTATAAAATTTCTACTTCAGCACGCGTGTGCGCGTTTATGTGTTCCATATTTAATAAGTGCCTTCTTTATGATTCTTCATATTTGATGCACGCAATCTTCTGACATCCCGAGCTGTAAGCAGTTAATGTTTTGACTTCCAAAATGTAAAAGTTTGTTTATAATAATTTATATTATTAAAACAAAAATAAAGCTTACATTGAAGTTGATAGTTAGAAATTAATTTGCCATATCTTACAATTTGTGCAGACCGTTGCATCCCCTGCCCACCTCAAATCGAATGATTGTTGCTATTGCGCTAATGTACGCGAACACCAAACCAGGAAGAGCAGTGCCGAAGAGTGAAAAGAAGGAAAGAATAGTCTTTGTTTGGACAGGCTGGACACGTGTTTCGTCCCCACCGGGCACTCATCAGCAACCCGAATGCCTATCAGAATCATATCGCAGTTTTTCTTTATTTAGTCCCCACGAATCACTTCGTTAGTTTGTGGTTTTTTTTATTTATCATTATTGTGGATCGTTGATTTTAATCGTTAGAATTTGCGATCCGATCCGACACGACAAACAAACAAACCCTCCATTAAAACGACACTTGAAGAGCTGATGACCTGACGATGCACGGACGCTCTTATTTCTTTACCAAGGTAGAAATGGAGAAGAATGAAAGATGATCATCTTGTCGCGAATATTCGAAAGGTTCTCTTTCATTTCATTATTAAAACTAGGCTCAACTATTTTCTTCATCATTCATCACATTCAGAGGTTGACAATTATTTAAAGTTTTATGTCAATCTCATCTACTTTTGGGTAAATTTGTTAAAGTGTTTGTACATTTGCCTAGCTTAAATTTCATTTTTTTAGCTGAAAATGTTCAAATATTTCAATTTTTTTAAATGTATTTTAAAATTAATAAAAAAGATAGTTTAGTACTTGCAAAATTTTATCTAAAGTTTTTTAAATTTTCAATTTTGTTATAGCTGATATTTGGTCACATCAATTCTGCAATAGCTTAAAACTCGATGAAATAAGTCATTGTCATATTTTATTTACTGCATTCGAACTACAGAATCACTCACATCAAAATAAAAAACGAAATAAGACTAACCAACCTATTGTTGTTACATTTATTCAAGTCGTACGACTGAGATATACATTTCATTTGATGAATTCTAATTAGTTTCTCTTTATACCTATGCTTTATAGTTCAAACAAAAATGTTTAATAATAATTGTATCTTCATAGTCATCTTCATCATCGTCACCATTGTCATCACTGAAGTTATAGTAACTGCTTAAAATTCTTTCTTCTTCTTTGTCATCATTTATGAATAAACCTTTAGATAAACACCGTTTTTTTCAACATCATTATCATTATCCGTAAACATTATCATCATCATCATTGTCTTCATCATCGTCGTCATCATCATCATCATCGTTGTCATCATCATCACCATCATCATCAGCTTCCTCATTGCTCTCCGGAAAATGTATGATTAGTGTCAGAGAAGAGGAAATTACCTTCTCTCATCACGTGACTGTCACTCACCAACTCCACAACATTTTTGAGGTATCAACATACCACCATCATTATCATCATCATTAAAACTATCATCATCATCGTCAATAACATCATTGTCATTATCATCATGACATCATCGTCATCATCATCATCATTATCATAATCATCATTATCATAATCATCATTATCATCATCATCATTATTATTATCATCATCATCAACATTATCATCATTTGAAATTACAGATTTCCAGAACTATTTCAAAAATACATTAAATGAACCTCAATAAAACAACTACTGCCTACCACCATGAACTCCATCATTAATAATGTCTTCATCTCAATTCAACACTTGTACCCCAACATACAATGAACTTACAACAATAACCAAAAAATCTTCCTGCTTTTTAGATCTAATATAAATAGCAATATTTTAAAAATGTCCTAATTTTCGCACAATACTCCATCAATTGCTGGCCGAATGATGAAGATTGTCTACAATTCCGACATGCTGGAAAAGGCCCTCAACAAATTAATCTACAAGAAAGGTGATTTAAGTGATCAAGCAAACTTCCGGCAAATCACGTTACAACCAGTTCTTTACAAATCTTCTCAACAACCTTATCAACACAACACTCAAAAAGGTTTCTATCCAAAAATTAACGGTGTTACCGAGCACACCCAGCTACTGAAGCATTTTTTGAAAGACCCCAAAACCATCAAAGAACAATTATCGTCAGTCTTTTGAATCTACGAAACGCATTTGGTGAGGTTATCATGCTCTTTGCCTGTCAGCTCTGAGGTATCACCGGGTGCAAACACAAATCAGTCTACTAAAATTATTCGATAACAGTGTCGACATGCGACAAACTGAAGGCACTCATCCCTGTTGTACATGGAGCGCTTCAGGGCGACCATTATCATTCAACCTTTGTTTCAACCCATTAATGAAAATAATAGAAAAAAATAGTACCGACAATGCGGTCGTCGACTCCGATAACCTCACCAAATGCGTCTCTGGAGACCAACAGCAAACTTGAAATCAAAAGCATGGCTACAGTTAGCGACGATACTGAGACCATCGCAAGCAGCACAGAAGGTGCCCAAACGTTGATTAACTTGAACAGCGGGGGTGTAAGTGAACAGGTGTAAAAATAAGACCCGACAAATGCTGCACATTTGGAATGCAAAAAAGAGAAGGTACTTACAAACAATTTCGGCCTAGATGGTTACTAGGTGATGTGCCGATCCCTCAAATAAATATTAACAAACAATTTATATTTATGATTTCCAGTGTAAAAATACAGAAGAAAAGGACCATCTCTAGAAAATAGTTAAAAACATGCGGCAGACAGTTGACGAGTTAGACACCACTGCGCAATGGAAGTTTCAGATCTTGACACCCCGTTCAAATTCTCATTTGATCGGAAAATATATGACATTTCCTTGAGTGGATCGAAAACAGTCGTGATGCGACGACAACAAAAAGCAGTGAGAGTCTGGTTTTTACTGCCTATCAATAAATGTATGGCAGAAGTTTTGTCATTGCCCTATAAAAAACGGAGGCCTCAACATTCAATCGCAAAAATCGTACTAAATTGACTAGAATGAAGGTGCGTGGTGGTCTCAAATTTAATCAAAATGAGAAAATGAAATGTCTGTGAAATGAATCAAGCAGCTGTTTTAAAAGAATCGACAACAATATCCAGAATGATGATCTGCAGCAGGCACTCAAAATCTGTAAAGAACGCTAGCTATATATAATCATATATCTTTGCTAAAATATCAAGCTTAGTGCTTAGTGCTTAGATCGATAAAAGACCACACTAATGTCTCAGAAATTACGCGATGGTTCAACGAGGAAAGCACCAGAGATCATATTCAAATTCTCAAAAAAATACTTAATACAACAATTACCAACAAACTCAAACTAGTTTAAACAGGGGAAATCAACAAACGAGTTATGCCCCATACATAATGCTAAACAAACGAACAAGCATGTACTGTCAAATTGTGAAGATACTTGGAAGGGCACAGCAAAATTTTTGGCCTAATCGTTGGCCACCTAAAATCATGTGCCAAGCCAGATCTAATCATGTTTGCTGATCTAGATAACGAATCAATCCGCCCAGCTCGCTCCGTCCTCACATCGTCATATTCAGCGATGATACGATTGGGATTCTCGAGCTGACGTTTTTCCACGAGACAGGGACGCTCCCATATTTTATTATTTATGGAACACCGTTAAACTTTATTTTTTGAATATTAAATAAGAGCTGGCGAGAAGTTGGTTTTAAATATTTTCATAAAATAAAAAGATGCGCAGCAAGTTTTATCAGACTACAAAATTTTTTCATTGGCTACTTCAGGCAGTAAACCATTAAGTCATTTTTTCATTCTCACAAATAATGAAATAAATTAACAAATAAATAAACAAATAAATAAATCCGGTATGTACAGAACATTAAATTAAACTAAGTAAATGAGGAGATAAAAGCGAAAGTTTTTTCATCATCAAGCAAGAAAAAGTTGTTTGATTAAACGTAATTCAATTTTAATCTGAAACTGTTAAGACTTACTTATCCATAAGGGGCATTTTTTAAACTTATTTAATCTCAACGCAAATTTGTCAAGCAAGTCCTCATGGTAATGAATTTATTAATGAATAATGTTAATGAAATTTTCCAGTTAAATACTACAATAATCTGATCCATTCAGAATAAAATACTCAATCAAATAATAAGAAGCACGTTATCCAAGCATGTAAGCAGCCACTAAAGTACTTATTCATAAACGTCTGCGTATTTTAGCGGTCAAATCTCCGCCAATTGCAAGAGCACACAATGAAATAAGCCCATAATCAGATCAGTGATTGGCTGGCTTGGACAGGCGAGTATGTTGACCTCGATTGATTGGAGTCATTCTACAGGACGATGATTGTCAAAATATTTTCAATAACCATTTTCTTTGGATCCATAACAATGCGACAACATCTCCTGATGGCACGTTGGCAAAATATTTCATGCCAATAAGTGCATGCATAGTATTTAAGAAAATATTTTTACATTGAATAACATTTTGACAGATTGGAAATTTTTTAAGAGTTAGATGACAATGGCAATATTAATATTTTATTATGAAAATAGATTACAATTTAAAACACAACATCACCCTGAAATATTAAAAAACAACTTGAAATTAAACGTTAATGCCATGACAAAACTAATTTGATTTAAGTAAATAAGTGAATAAAAATGTATAAATTATAGCAAAAAATAAAGTTCGGTTAAAATCGCAGTAATATTGAAATTAGATGAAAGTGGGTTGGTCAGAATTTTTCACGCAAATATTCTGATAATCTTGAAGAATAGTTGAAATAAATAATTTAATTTTTCAGCATTTGATGGTCTGATTGCTTCAAATAGTAACACGAATAATTTATGTAATTTTTATTTCTTGTTATTTTGACACAATATCAACAATTACCAGTTCATTGCATAACCATATGTGCAAAAACATAATTGTTACACCGATACAAAAACTTGATTGATACATAGCTATAAAAACTTGAGTGATACATAGATACAAATGCATGATTGATACATTAATACAAATTCATGATCGATACATAGATACAAACTCAGGATTAATACATAGATACAAATCCATAATTGATACATGAATACAAACTCGTGATTGATACATAGATACAAATGCATGTCCCATAGAAACAAAAACTTGATTGATACGTAAATAGAAAAACGTAATTGATGCATAGACAGAAAAACGTGATTGATACATAGATACAATAACATAATTTAAAAAATATTGCGTCACACAGAAACTCCCAGCCTTTCAAGCCGCAGTAACAAATGATGGCTGGGCGGATGTGGCATCGTTCGATGTTTTGCCTTCAATCAAATTTATGCAACTGCAGCATGTAATCAATCCTTTCATCTCAGCAAGC